ACAGAGAACCACATCAGGGGGTGCTGTTTAGGTATTTGCACTAGGTCTCAATTTTTCCTGTCGGATAGAGACAGATTCAGGGGAAGGAAATTCTATCGTGGTCGTCTTATTGTGGAAAAGACAAGAATTATCACCAGATATGACCGTTTCTGGACTTCCTCCCGTGCCTTTAAGCAAACAACGTTTAATTTAGAATTAGTATCTCTGTCTTTTTCCCAGGCTTTGCGATATAGGCAGTGTTTTCCTTGGCGTTTGTCTTTTCTTTATTAAATCAACTAAGTGGAGTTCAAATATTGGTTTCTAAGTCATATTAATGCATGGTTGCTTTACCTGGAATTCCAGTGCGATTTTTTTCCTCTCTCAAAATTATACATAAAAAAATTATTTCATTTTTTGCCAGCTATTTAATTATCTGCTAACTAATTTGAAACCTCAGCTTATTACTTGTTTCTTTCTGCTTCTTGGTTTGGTGGTGTGGCTTCCTTGTATTGGGTTTTATTTCTTGCATAAGTGTTTTATTAAAAGTCAAAGTGTTTATTTGGGATCTGATTAATGATGGCTATTGAAAAGTTTGTTTTCAAGGGCCTGCTTCATTTCATGCTTATGAAAATGAACAGTGAAGTATTTATTATTTGTTAATTGTTTTCATGTATTATGGATGCTTCATGTAGTTTCCAAACTGCACAGCAAGTAGACAGTAAAGACATTTTAATGTTACAAACTAATGGCTGTTGAAATTTCAGCTTTGCCATCACAGGAATAAATTACACTTTAAAATATATAAAAATAGAAAACAGCTATTTTAAATTGTAACAATATTTCATTTTTTTCTATATTTTAGTAAATAAAAACAGGTGTGCCTATAGTTAGCTAAAAACAATAAAAGTCCTCCGAGCATTATTAATGTATCCAGACGTCAGAACATAACACACATTGGTATTTTCCCCTTTGCTTAGCTTTGTCATATTTAAATGCAACATCTGCTTTGGAGCAGAACAAGAGTTCAGAGAAAGAAAACAAACCGCTGATGTTGGATTGACTGGATCGCATGAGGGCAGGAGGTCTGCAAATAATTCCCTCCTCAGGGGAAAACAAAACACAAACAAAACAACACGTCAGGTTAATAGATATTTAGATAGGCTTTAAACATGTTTCCAGCTGCGATTAGACTCCACTTAGACATGACTGTGCTGTGAGTGAAGAGTTAAACAGAGCTAGTAGAGTCAACATTTTTATTGATTATAAAGTATGTTACATAATTTAATATTTCTACATTTTCTGGTGTTTTGTGTATTTTGTGTAACTAAATTATTATAATTTTTATTAGTGCATTGGTGTTATGGACTTTCTGGATCAGCCACTGCAATAATTCAGACAGGAACCCAACAGGAACATGCACTTTCTTCATACTGTCTCTCTTCTGGGTCATTCCTAGGTTTGCCATGTGGGTCAAAATTTGTAATGATCACTGGCTGTGGTTTCTATACACATTACAAGCTTCCAAGAGTCAGCTAGATCCAAATCGGCACTGCAAAGCAAAGGGGCTTTACTAAACCAACTCGAAAGTACCCCCTCTGAAAGAAACCTCCAGTTTCTGCACATTTTTCACACCATCTGCCTATGAAATATTTCTAAGCTTGGACCAAAAGTCTAGAAGCATTATGGCACAAACGGAATAATTTAGGCTAGTACCTTGTAACATATGAAGAAAGCTGACAAAAATGAACACAAAGGTTAATATTGAAACATTTATTCATGATGCTTCTGTTCAGCCGGTTCACACTGTGATTTATTTTTCTAATTCAGTTCACTCCTGCAAAGTTTGAGAACGACTCATTCATCATGTAGCGGATTCCTATCTGGGATATGATTTATTGCGTTTTCATAGATTAAATGTAAATCGTTTTTACGCTGTTAGATCTCAAGCTGACTTCCTGTGTGCACAGCACAATCTGGCGCCTGTCATTTGTTTGCACTGCAGATGCCTCAGTGATTTTAGATGTGATGTGGTCTGACAAGTGTGTGTGTGCGTGCGTGTGCGTGTGTGTGTGTGTGTGTGTGTGTGTGTTTGCGTTTGTCAGTGTATAGACGAAGACCCAAGATATTCTGAGGACACAAGGCCATAACCAGAGTGAGAAGCTTGACCCATCTAAAAAAAAAACAGTGCACCATGAAGAGAAACTGACTGCTTTATATGGTAAATCTCAATGCATTTATTTCGAGGCTCTATTTGTTTTATAGTTGCTATGCATGTTGTTTTGTTTTATGTTGTGCGTTGTTGATTTGTTTTGGGACTATTTCAACAACTGGTTAAGGTATGCTTATTAAAATCTAGAGAATAGCTGTGTATTAATTCCACATTTTAATTATGTTTTAGAACGGACACCAAAGAATTCTTAAAGGAATAGTTCACTCAGTTATAATTATGCAATCATTGATATTTCCTGTATGACTTTCTTTCTGTTATGGAATACAAAAGGAGGTATTCCAAAGATATTTTCTGTGAAAAACAAAGTTAAACTCAAAGCCATCATATGATACCAGAAAACTTAGAATTTTTCTTTATTGTCCTTTTTTTGAGCTTGAATGTCTCTGGTGAGCAAATGATGACAGAATATTCATTTTTTTAGGTGAACTGTGCCTTTAAAGGTTCATTTTTGTAGGTCCAAATTGTAAATGTTATGATAATGTGTAATTACTTAGTCATTTAAGCACATGTAAATCACTGAGTTTGCATACTTAAACAGTATGTGTACAGCAATGATGTCAGACAGAGAACAAAAGCGAGCAAGAAAAGCCAAAGTCAGCAGGAGGTTCTGTAGTGGATGGGATATAAAAGAGGAGCGGGGGGACACAGGAAGTGTGGCAAGATCCGGCAGGCGCACATGACCCCAGTTCTCCATGTTTTCTGTGGCGCCTGCAATGCATTGCGGATTGAGATAAGAACCAGGCGCAGAACTGTCATACCGTCATAGGGAGGATATGCTTGTTTGGGATAAAAAATATATAACCTCCTGAAACTCTTGCCCTCATACTGTATGTGAGGGTGTGGCTGTATTTGTTGGCCCTTGGAAATATGAATCTTCCTTGGGAGTTCACAGTTAGAAGGGAAAAGAGTCAGAGAGGAAATACTATGGACACAAACAAAACAGGAAAGGAAAATGCTGCAGATGTATTCAGATGGACGTCATTAGGGAAGAGTATTGTATCATGTCATTTATTCAGATACAAAAGAGTGTGACTACTGGCTATGCTCCATTAGGTGGAGATTTGTAAAGGAAATGGGCCCCACTAGCTCTTGGCAATGCTGACCTTTCGACCTCACAATAGGAGCAGGGATGGGCTGTTTTTTTTTTTTTACTGAATAGTTATATATAGTGTGTCTATTCTGTGCCTCACAGTGCCAGAGAATTGTAGTAGCACTATGACTAAATAAAATGCTCCGTTTGACTAGCCTGTTACTTTTACTTTTGGAACACAGAAGCTTGACCTTTGGCCTATTTTTTTGTTTGGCCTGAAATCCTTGCAAATATTTTATTTTATTTGAATTTTACAATTTTATATTTCTTTCTTAAATTCTGTATTTATTCCTTATTTGAAAACTTACTTAATTTTTGTTTTGAAAAAAAATATGAATCTATAAAATGCACCACATAATTTTAAATCTTGTTAACTGTCTCTGTATTTTTTCTAGCTTCATACCGCAAAATCAATCAATCAATTAAAACAAAATAATTTTAAAAATACTGATTTCAAAAATATGATTTTTGAAGTGTTTTTATGGCAGTCAGAAAACACCCAGAACACATTAGCAGCCACATTTTAGTATGTGCTGAAAACAAGCAACACTCACGTTTATCAACATCATTTAAAAAAAATTGTATCCTCTAGGTTTGGAAACACAGGACAAAGCCAGGATGAATGTGAAAAGGAAGGAGATGGATTTCTTGAGCAACACTATTGCTGCTTATGCTCACATTAAAGGTCTGTGCATTTCCCATATTTAACATGCAGCTCAGGTTAAAATAACAGCAAACTCATATGAATATGTTCCAGTGAATAAACCAGACTCCTTTCCCCATCTGTTCAGCCAATCCAGAGAGTTTTGGCCTTTACTTTGTCGTCGGCGTCTGTTTTGGCCTGGTGCTCACTCTCTGCCTCTTGGTCATCCGGATTTCCTGCAAGCCTCGGACCACTACGGCGTCCCCCATGCCAAAGAAAAAACAGCTGAAAGACTATAGTGAGGAAGACGAGGAGAGCGATGATGAGGAGGAGGAAGATGCAGGAGGCCTGGAGTCCTCTATCCAGCACAGCACCACAGAGATTGCCATGAGCAACCACCTCGTCACGCCGGACGGGACTCTGAGCAGGAACGTGTTCACCTCAGCTGAGGAGCTGGAGCGGGCGCAGCGATTGGAGGAAAGGGAGAGGATCATCAGGGAAATCTGGCGAAACGGACAGCCAGACATTCTGGGAACAGGGACAGGCACTATTGGAAGAGTGCACTACTACTAACACTCATGAATACAAACTCAAGCCATTTCACTGGTTGAGTGTAGTACTTTGGAAGACTGTTAATGGACAGTGTTTCCATTTTTTTATACGTTGAACTGATGTTATTGTAATCCTACAGACCAGGGGTACAGCTGTTCTGTATGCAACATTTGGTTGCTGTCAGTCCCCATGTCATGGTGCTTATTAAAAAGTAATTTAAAGCACAAATTTAGACTTTGATGTCAGAGTTGATGTTTAAAAATAATTAGTGAATTGTATGTGATTATTAGAAGCTCACTGAAAGCAAATGCACTTTTGCACCATGCCATTTATTGTGTATAGATTTTTTTTCCTTGCTATTTTTATACTTTTTTTAAAAAGTCCCCCATGTCAAATAATGCAGTAACTCAGAACAGAAATTAAAATTTGATGCAGATGAGATCATTATTTTCATGATTTATACTAATTTGTCTAAATTAAAAAAAGAAAAACCGCAAAAAGCTAAAGTTCATTGTTTTAAATGCAATAATGTGAAATAGCAAATAGGCATCACAACATTATAATGTATGATATGAAAACTAGATATTACTTTGAGATTTGCAATGTTTTTCAAGATTAATTTTGAGTTTGATGATGGTAAAATGTGAGATGGTAAAAAGTTAAAAAGTGGGATTTTGAAATGAGCCTGCACAAGAAAAATCAATTATCGCCCAATATTGATAAACTTTCAAAATGTCTAACAACTCATAACTGATATGGTACCGATATATATTGTGCATTCCTAAATAAAGCCAAAGAAAAAAATGAATCCTGCTCAACACGGGTCATGCTCAGAATCTCAAGTAACATGGTAATACAAATCAGCAAAAGCAGGTTAAAACAATCAAGGGTTGATTTGCCAAGCAATCATCTGTTAAAACTCTCAGAGCCATCAGAGTATATCAGTAACAAATATTAAATGACATATTTGCACACCTGATTAATCAAATCTTCATGTGCGTTTTACAATAAATTTCATGGTTGTTTTTTGGGCATCTTGTCTTTCATGAAAGTTATATTTGCTCACCAATTTGATGTTATTGTATCATTTTAGTTCAAAAATTACCTCTGACTATGGAATGTGGAATAATACGACGAGATCATGGCTAGATGTGTTTCATATAAATATTATTGAGCTTTACATTCATTGAAAATACTGAAACTCAAACATTTAGACCAAAGCATACCAATAAAAAGTATTTACACAGGACAGAATGCTAGTTTTCTAGTAAAACAACTTTTTGTCATTGTTTAACTAAAAGTAAACTTGAGAACTGCTCATAGGACACCTAATATGTTAAGAACCCACATGACATCCATAGATGAGCCCGAAAAAGTCAAGAATTTGAGTCTGTTTTGACTAATGGTACTGTCATCACTGTAATGCAACCTATAAAAAATTACAAACATATTTCTATTTGGAATTAGTCTGTATGTCATTAAATATAGTCCATTCCCAATGATTATGACTATGAAGATCTAATGTATTCCACATGGTTTCCAGATGCTGTTTTCGGTCTAAAGGGAAATTAAATCCACACCAGTCTCACATCACATCTTCACCAAGGGAAAATTTACTTTCACATTCTGGTTAGGGACAAAGCAAAGCCTATTCGTGCCATTCAGAGCTTTTAAACAACATTTGCTGTGTTATAATTTGTCACAAATGACCTGGAGCCAATCAAATTGTGTTTTGTGTCATTTCATAAGATTCTTTTCAGTCAGGTCACGGGGGTTATGAACAAATTATTTTAATACTTTGTTCATATAGGTTGTGTGCATTTGATACCAGTTCTGTATTTGTACAATGGTATAATTCACTCACAAAAATAAAGTCATCTTGTTTTATATCGTAACAGATAAAACATTTATGCTTTAAAAAAGATGCCATGTCATGCTTATCATGAACGTCTCTGGGTAAATCAGGCTTGGAGCAAAAACATTTCGACAACATCAGTGGAACTATCTATTGATTTATTTGTTACAGAACACAACCACAAAGCAGAAATATATTAATAATAGAAAGTGTGTTAATGCCTTAAAATATGACCTACATTATCCCTGAATTTCCATGAAAATATAAGATATTGGATATCTGCTATTTACACATTTCCAAAAATGCACATAATGTCTTAAGAAATGAGTGGCGAAGACTCCCACGACCAAAAGAGCTCATAAGCAGAGTATGAGAAACCAAGAAGTCTTTTTGTAGTTCTGCTATCTGAATGGAGCTCTAGCTTCTAGTCCACTCAACCAAGAATGAATCATTCAGTCACATGTGCTGGATTTCCATTCTCTCAACATCCTCTTTCTGTAGCCTTTACGTCCATGTCGAAGGATCACTGGGGGTAGTGAAATACTTCTGGTGTTCATTGCTCACTGTTTTTTCCTCAAAGCCTCCACTTCATCCTATAAGCATTAAAATATTATTTAATAAGTTGTACTTAGCAACAAGGGAAGACTAGCATTAAGGTGAGACTATATTTAAATTATACAGTGTAAATACAAGCTGGATGCCATTATTCTGAAGTTTAAAAAAAATATTCCATCAGTTAAGAAATATTGTTAAAAGTCATTTTATTAAAGTTTAACACTGCCTATTTGGCTATTTTTAAGGTTGTTTATGGATGGCACAGGTATCCTTTATGTGATGCAGACGTTTGGAGGTTCTATCAGTTCAGCTTGCATTTTTATCTCACTGCTGCTCTCTTGAGGATGAAGATGGTACTTATGTTTTTTTTTGTGCCATTGCCAACTAGATTTAACTTGGAATACAGGATTTAAAATAGGGGTGGCACGATACCATTTTTTCAGAAACGATCCGATCCGATACCAAAAGTTCTGAGTATCGGACAATACCGATAACGATCCGATACCAGCACAGTTTGTTTTTTTCATTTCTATACCTCAGTGTGTTTTGACCTGATCATCTTTTGTGTATTACGCACAATCTACTAAATACAGACAACTTCATTATAAAGAAAAATAACAAATTAAAAAATACATAATCATAATCTATGAGAAAAATACTATTATAAACTAGGTTAGTGGATAATTCAGCAGCAAAAGTTATGAGTTCACAATCATTTTATAAAATCTAAACATTTAGAGAAAAAAAACTATTTTGTGGGGGGGGAATAAAAGTAAATAGGTAATCTGGTCAAATGTTACACATTGCTCTTTGTATTGTAATATACATTCATGAAAAACAAGTAAATATAATTATATATAAATATATGAAATAAATTAACATTTATTTTACATTTATAGCACAGTAATGAGGCAGCAACATATGATAGATAAGACAGAACAAAAAAAGCTATTAACAGTCTTTCATTGCGCAAAAGTGTTATAACATGCTCATCCCGTGCGCAGAATGACAAGCTTGAAGCAACACGGAATCACAGCTCGCAGCGCAGTTCAAAGCACAAAGGGAAGAGACATTATGCGCAGAGTATTATATCTGTGCGATAGTTTATTGAGCATTTTCTTTTGACAGTTTTACATTTCAGTTACTGTGCGCATGAAGAACAATTCATAGTGCTCTACTCCAGTGTTGTGATCTAACAGACACCCGGTAGAAAGTAACATGATTTAGAATTTGCACTAAACTCCAGCAAGATAAAGTCTTTTTATGCAAAACCACTGATGTTTATCTACAGATCAAGTATAATAATAGGAACATTGTATCATCCTAAAGAGAGTTTCGTCGTCTTGACTGTCGTAACCGAACGCAACGCGCAGTTTGAATGCTGAATGGAGGATGACTTGACAGCCGCAGCGGAGAGAATATTTAAGTGAACTTGAATTTAACGACTTAAATATTAATCTGTACCTATGGAACGGTCTCAGAACACTTGAAATATAGTGCACGGAAACTTTATGGTGCTTTATCATGTTTTTGTGTCTTTCGTGGGGCTTAACAATAACACAGAATAGTATATGCACAATATCGGATTTGGATCGGTCTTGTCTGACTGATACCCCGATCCAGCAGAAAATGGCAGTATCGGAGCAATACCGATACTGAATATCGGATCGGCGCACCCCTAATTTAAATGTATTTATTTTTACTGTATGAGGAACTCTGATGTAAAAAAACAAATCACTGCAATCTACTTCTGTTTTTGCCTTTTTTTCTAATTTGTTTGTTGCTCAAACAACTGAAAGTTTGCCCTAATTCTGATACACTACTTCAAGTCTTTGAAGAAAGTAAAGTAAAGCCACAAATATGTGATTTGTGAATTCCAAGTCATAATTTTTAATATGGTATTTCTGTGAACTCTACCAGTTTGTTTTAGATGCATATATTAGCATAGTTTATATAATAAAGTGAGGCTTTATTACCTCTACAAAATTATCCCCACAGAATACTCAAACCTCACCACTCACCTGTAATCTCATTCTTTTTTCCATCTCGTCCTTCAGTTCACCTTTAAGCTCCTTTATGTCTCTCCTGGTCATTAAAGAGGTATATTGCAATAAGGTTAATGTGTGATATGGTCATTCAGGTGTGGTAGTTAGGGGTTTATACTCACTCATGCTGCGCTTTGAGGAGATCCAGTGACATGCGGAGATCTTTGAGTTCAGTCAGCACAGAGGCCAGGGAAGCGCTCTCCTCCTGAGCCACAGCTTTGCTTTCAGTCGGTGTCTTGGGTGGTGAAGTGGTCTTAGCTACTTGGTCTGTCTTGGTGGAAGGTGATGACTGAGGTTCTGTAGCCTGTGAAAAAAATACCAGCAGCTGAGCATCTGAGGGATGAAGAGGGATATAACTCCCAGGACAAGATGACAAAATGTTCATACGTGTACATTACTGTTCAAAGGTAATTTTTTATTTTCATTTTTTAAGAAATTGATCATTTTATTGCACAAGAGCATGATAAATTTTTTTTAATATGGTATTTCTGTGAACTCTACCAGTTTGTTTTAGATGCATATATTAGCATAGTTTATATAATAAAGTGAGGCTTTATTACCTCTACAAAATTATCCCCACAGAATACTCAAACCTCACCACTCACCTGTAATCTCATTCTTTTTTCCATCTCGTCCTTCAGTTCACCTTTAAGCTCCTTTATGTCTCTCCTGGTCATTAAAGAGGTATATTGCAATAAGGTTAATGTGTGATATGGTCATTCAGGTGTGGTAGTTAGGGGTTTATACTCACTCATGCTGCGCTTTGAGGAGATCCAGTGACATGCGGAGATCTTTGAGTTCAGTCAGCACAGAGGCCAGGGAAGCGCTCTCCTCCTGAGCCACAGCTTTGCTTTCAGTCGGTGTCTTGGGTGGTGAAGTGGTCTTAACTACTTGGTCTGTCTTGGTGGAAGGTGATGACTGAGGTTCTGTAGCCTGTGAAAAAAAATACCAGCAGCTGAGCATCTGAGGGATGAAGAGGGATATAACTCCCAGGACAAGATGACAAAATGTTCATACGTGTACATTACTGTTCAAAGGTAATTTTTTATTTTCATTTTTTAAGAAATTGATCATTTTATTGCACAAGAGCATGATAAATTGATAAGTGACAGTAAAGACTTTTACATTGTTACAAAAGATTTAAAAGAAAATGCTGTTCTTTTATACTTTCTATTCATTAAAGAATCCTGAAATAAATGTATCATAGTTTCTACTAAAATATTAACAGCACTACTGTTTTCAACACTGACAATAATAAGAACTGTTTTTAAGCACCAAATCAGCAAATTAGAATGATTTCTGATCATGTGACACTGAACACTGGAATAATGGCTGCTAAAAATTCAGCTTTTCCATCACAGGAATAAACTACATTTTAAAAGACATTTTAAATTGTAATAATATTTCTCAATATTACTGTTTTTATTGTAATTTTCATCAAAAACATTAAAATATCTTACCGCCCTCAAACTGTTAAACAGTAGCATATACCAGACATTTAAGGAGATGTTTTGTAAATATAATTCCATTATGTAATGTCATTAATTTTACAACTTTTGGTAACACTTTAGAACAACTTTCATTAATAGCCCTTTAAAACATTATATAATGCTTAACAGATCAATAGTTCACGTACTTTCAAACATGAATCTATATGATAATACTGTGTATGAATCCCGTTTTAAATATTTGAAGGCACATGAGCTGATCTGATCTGTGAAGCATTATATAATGCAATAATATCATGAATGAAAGTTATTATAAAGAGTTATCCAAACCTCTGGAATATTTTGTGGTAATCCATCTTTCTCTTCTGAAGTTTCATTGTTGTCAATTTCAGCTAGAACCTTTATGAAAAACATCATAACGTCATTTGCATTATTTTATCAAGACATTAGAATGTATTAACATTTAATAAAGTAGTTTAAAAACTACTACATCGACTACATTTTTATAATTATTATATATAATCATGATTCATTATTTTAATTGATCGACAGCCCTAATTTTTAATATCATTCTTCACGCACCTCCCCTGACATGATTTGTCTTGAGTGGCACACCTCAAGCTTTGAAAACCACAAGTCTGATTAAACATTAATACTTGATTCATTTTGTTGCAATTCATCTCTTAAATGGAAATAAACTTAAAATCAACTCAAATTAAGCTCACTTGTCCGGCAGAGGTGAGGGCTGTTGGTGGTCTTCTCTGTGGAGGCTTGGCTCTGTTGGCTGTGGGATGGCTCAGTTTCTCTGAGGACACATCTACACCGTCAAACTGGTCAGGGATTTTCTCTTTAACCTTATTGTCTTTAACCTCTTTCTGTACTGGTGAAGCAGGGGGCTGTTTAGGCGAGACAAGTTGTGGCTCTTCATTTCTAAGAGACACATTTTACACACATACAATGCATTAAAATGCATTTCAGAAACTTCTGAGTACTTAAAATACACAAATGCAAAGCAAGTAGTTTCAGTTTAATAGCATTGTTCTCTGCACTGAAACCAAAATAAACACCAGCATCTGTAACGTGGTGATGCTATCAATGTGTCTACACTCTTAAAAATAAAGGTGCTTCAAAAAGTTCTTCACAGCGATGCCATAGAAGAACCATTTTTGGTTCCACAAAGAACCATTCAGTCAAAGGTTCTTTAAAGAACCATCTCTTTCTTACCTTTTTATAATCTGAAGAACCTTTTTTCACCACAAAGAACCTTTTGTGAAACAGAAAGGTTCTTCAGATGTTAAAGGTTCTTTATGGAACCATTTAGACAAAAAGGTTCTTCTATGGCATCGTGAAGCACCTTTATTTTTAAGAGTGTAATGTGGCATTTCAGAAACTTCTGAGTACTTAAAATACACAAATGCAAAGCAAGTAGTTTCAGTTTAATAGCATTGTTCTCTGCACTGAAATCAAAATAAACACCAGCATCTGTAACGTGGTGATGCTATCAATGTGTCTACACTCTTAAAAATAAAGGTGCTTCTTACCTTTTTATAATCTGAAGAACCTTCTTTCACCACAAAGAACCTTTTGTGAAACAGAAAGGTTCTTCAGATGTTAAAGGTTCTTTATGGAACCATTTAGACAAAAAGGTTCTTCTATGGCATCGTGAAGCACCTTTATTTTTAAGAGTGTAATGTGTTTTGAAGTACCAAGAGCTTTTTTCAAACAATGCACTGCTTTGATTTGTTGTGGAAAATGTTAGATTAACTGTTAACAGACAGTAATGTCTTACGTTTGTGCATGCATTACAGTCAGAATGACAGTTCTTTCTGTAAGCTCTGCCTGAAGACTCAGTCTCACAGGAAAAAAACAGGAAACAGGCCGTTTGGGTTTGTTTAGTCCCTCAGCAACTCATAAAATTTCCATCGCTCTCTGCAAGACTGAGCATTCACAGGCCCTTTAGAACAACATAGCATGCTAAATGATTATCTAATGAGGGGGAATTCAGTCCCTCGGCATTATAAATCTGACCGATAGAAGGAGATTCATGATTTTATTTATCTGGTGAAATAGTGAAAAATGCTTGTGTTTCAGATTTATTATATTTTTGCCATTACTTAATGAGCATCACAGAAGGTTGTATGCTCGAAAGATGATTTGCTGAGGCATCACTTACTTTGGTACTAGTTTTATGGGCTTCTCCTTCACTGGTGGTGGTGGAACAGGTGGTTTGTGTAAACCAGGCAACTTAATTTTACCAGGTGGGTCACTTCGAAAATCTTTAGTGTCTGGTTTCTCACCTGTGCAAAGAGCAGAGAGGGCAATGGCGAGATAAATATTATCATAACGGCAAAATTTCCTCAGACAGCTGTGCTTTTAAATGCGCTCAAATATTTACTATTTATTAAAGTAATAAATAATTCAATCATCAAGACAGGATGTTACACTTTAGCAAGGTTATTTATAGGTGTGTTCAGAATTATTACTTTTAGTGTCCGTTTTTGGGTTCGCGTCAGAGCTGTTCTGGTCCATCACTGGCATCTGGTTCACTGAGATATAAGAAGATACAAGATTTGGCAGTCAATGTATTTGTTTCATCAAAATTTTATGCATTTGTATTTTTGTTTTCCCTATCAATGCTACTAACAACTCTTAACAAATCTAACTAAAAAATCTTCCATCCCTGTCATTTTTTTTTTTTGGACTGTTACAGAGTATCTTTTGTCCATAGAACACTAGGGTAAGCCAGCCAGCATCCCTGAAGCAATTTTTGCAGTCATTCTTTTTCATAATTTGCCCTTTACAAACTTTTAAAATTGGCCTGCTCTTGCCTGTGGCTACACAAAAAAATTCTCATGGGTTCCCTTAATAAACCCGAATGAGATCAAGTATTACCAGCCTTTAAACTACAAAACAAAAACATAAAATCTCTGTGCTCATTCAGAATTACCCTTGTGGAGTCAAAATCAAACAAGAAAGTCACAATCTAAGACAAAATCAAACGCAATCGCAGATCTTACCAAAGCCATAAATGTCACATGTAATTACTTTGAGTAAACATCCTCTCTCATACAGAACATTATTTCATCTCCCATCAGGAGGACTATGACAAGATCGTTTCTTTTGAAACCAAATCTTCAAAAAACCTATTAAAAACCCCATTCTGTGACTTATCTAATTGCCTGAATTCATAAGACAAGCGATATCAACTGCAAACACATCTAGCAACACTAAAATCCAAGAACTGAAAATACTGAAGAATAAATAGTGTCTATACATACCCTGTGAGTTTTGTCAGTATTCCAACATTACAACCCTATGTTCATATGAAGGCGTTTATATGTAGAGCACAGGGGTGCTCCGCTTTTCTCTAGAGTCTGCTCACATGACATCTCTTCATGGCCTACGACTTCCTGTCACAGCCCCACACAGCTGCATCAGTGTTTCTTGTGCGGTTTGTGGTAATGAGTGTTATGTGTGTGAAGTCAGATTTAAAACTTCAGTAATGAACAAAGATTCTTGCATTACATTTCCAGGCTTTTAAGATAACTTTAACACTGTCATAGATAATTCTGCAGCAAACCAAATATGATCAGCATGAGGGGAAATGAAGTCTCATGCTCGAATGCAAAAAAAAAATTTGATAAGTAAAAAGCCTACTTCCTGTCCTAGAAATGACAGTTGTCAATAACAGGTGCAGAAACTGTATTTTAGTAGTTTCCATTAGAGAATGTTTGTGAACTACCAAACATAAGCTAATATTAAACTTGCTAATTCCTCAGAAAAGTCAAGCTGATTAAAAAAATTGTATAGTGTAATAATAAAGACTGCTCAGCACTGTATAAAATTAATAGAATGTTCATTAAGTGTTCAATTGTCTTTATTTTGCATGATGCAATATATATATAAAAAGTACAAAACTGAACTTAAATTTCCTCAAGGTAAAAGATTCTTAGCAGTTGTGTCTGATTTTTAAAAAGGGAAGTGTGCAACTACTGTGAGTTAGACAATGATGGCTTTTCCTTCATTAAAACCATAACTCAAGAGTCATAATTTACCAACAAGGAATTCCAGCTTAACTGGGATTAAAGTACTTATGTGTCTTTTGATGAACTATATCCTATATTTAATGAAGACATCCGAGTTGTTCTAAAGACACAAAACATTATGCAAAAATTCAAATTTTATATGACAAGATCCTGTTTTTCAAGCTCAGCATATACTATTGTATACTATACTATACTATAGTCATACTAGTGTATGACTGTGCTAGCGTATAACTTTAAATGGAATTTTGTATATTGAGTTACTGATACTAAAATAAAGATGGACAAATATAGCACTTTCACAAAACAAAAAGTAGTCATTTAGCACAAAAGCAGTTTTCTCAGAGGTAATGGCTCATGGGTCACACCATGCAGGATTCAAACCTACAAACTTTCAACCTGACAGTAGCAAGTGCTTTAAAGATGGCCTGACATGTGCTACTACACATTTTTCATCTTATCTAATCAAACCAGCTCAAACACCCCCTAAAATCTTTTAATGTTATTTCTATCAACATTTCCAGCTACTTGTCAAACCAGCCCTGCTGCTATGACAGGTGCTGATGTCTTACCTGCGTTTTTCTGAGAGCCATGTCTCACCGGTGGCTGTCCTGCATTACCAGTCTGTCAGAAACAAGAAATTGTCAACAAAATGCAGATTAGTCCTTCCGAGCAGGATATAGCTCACACTCTCTCCATGTAGGAGGAATCAAGTCACCGTTTTTAGTGTTCCTCTCTTCTAATGGAAACCTCTGAGTCAATCTCTTTTAATAATCCCAAAGTAACAGGAAGAAAATACAGTCATGTATAGACCACAGTTAGCCTTCTTGTGTCATCACAGACAGGATCAATGTATTAAAAACAGATTTATAACCTCTGGTCTGTTCCAACTTAAAACAATTTTAACTATTTGTAAACTAGAATGAATGTCCTTGGCCTAAAATCGGGTTTTCTGAGCCAGCGCATTACTAACAGTCCAGAGCAGAGGTGACAAAAGGGAGACTCCCATTCTCTAACAGTGCACAAATGGGCCAATCATGAGAACATTTCTCTGTCCCACACTCACATGAAGAACATCCGCTGGGATCACCAAGACGAAGTTATCGGGAAAAAAGCCCCTGCGTCCGTTCAGTTCCCCCTCCCACCAGCCCTCGTCCTCAGTGGTCTTCAGGGAAAAGAGAAAGAAAATAAAAGCACAAAACTGAATCACTGCCCAGGAAAAGACACAAACTTGTATATGGGGTATGAACAACCAAATCAGGAGGTAGTCAGTTATGAATACACATAAGATATCACTCCACACCCTTTTTCATTACAAACCACTTTCCAAAAATTTTAGGTCAGTAAGATTTTTTAAAGAAACTAATACTTTTATTCAGCAAGGATGCATTAAAGTGAACAAAAGTGACAGTAAATATATTTACAATGTTACAAAAGATTTCTATTTCAAATAAACGCTGTTCTTTTGAACTTTCTATTCATCAAAGATTTATCAAAAGAAAAAAGTATCAGTTTCCACAAAAATAAGCAGCACAACTCTTTTCAAGACTGATTATAATAAGAAAATTCAGCATTACATTTTAAAATATATATAAAAATAGAAAACAGTTTTTTTATTGTAATTTTATTTTCCACAATATTATTTTACTGTATTTTTGATCAAATAACCACAGTCTTGGTGAGAATAAGAGATCTATTTCAAAAGATTTTTAATCTTACTAACTAAACTTTTCAATGGTAGTGTGATTTCAACTCTGATTAAATTAATGTGCATTTATTTACTTATTTGTTAAGTAATCATTTAAGTAGACAAGTTATAAGCAAGATAATGCTGTATTTATCGCAAAATACACCTCTTTAGAATGATACAAAATTGTTTTGTGTTGACATTCTTATCACCTGATCATCATTTATTATTTTGCTGCAATGACCAGCTGACTGTACATTATCCTTTACATACAAATCTGTTGAAGTAACTTTACTTTTCTTTAGAAAATGTACTGCATGCCATATAAATAGAAAGCAGTCATTTGGTCACCAATGACACACCTTGTTGATGATTGCTATGACATCTCCTTTCTTCAGGTTCAACTCGTCTTCGGTAACAGCTGTGTAGTCGAACATGGCCTGACAACATTCTTTCACTGTAGTGAAATTAAATATGTATTTAGTGATGACAAATGTACTGACCTTGTGATTAACTTATTAGCAAGTTGGGTTTGGTGGGTGAATCTGAAAGCACATGTTGCCACTCTTCTGTTACAAAACCCTTAGGGAAGTCCTTTAAGAATAGATCTTTTCATTCACTGATAACTGCATAAGCTTTGTCTTAAGACTCTGTGTTCTCTGTAACTGTCTATTATGGGAATAGTGTTATTCAGACCTCTTCCAGTTGAAGAGTACAACCTCAAGAACCAGCTAAACAGCATTTAATTACTTTACTAACATCATCTGTATGATATGGCATATTTTTAGACTTCTCACCACTTGGTGTTTTTCTCCGTAAACTTGGTCTCTGTTGTACTTTTCCCTGTAAGAATTTTTTTTTTAAAGTATATAATATAATATAATATAATATAATATAATATAATATAATATAATATAATATAATATAATATAATATAATATAATATAATATAATATAATATTCACGTCTTTACTGAAGACTTCAGAGAGTTTAGGCCTGGCTGTGGCTTCAGTAGTCTTGCCATCTGCAGAACACAGATGTTTGAACACAGATGATTACTCAACCATTTACATTTTTGGTATTTAGTCTTAGTTCTAAGCTTCTGATTAACTTTGGACTCTGTTATTGCCATTTGTTAACATAAGGACCAGAGTTTTGCCAGCAAAAGTGAAGAAGCCATTGTAAGGCTGTGAAACAAGAGTCAAGAATAAAACAGCAAGCAACATCAGACAAACCTTAAGCTAACCAAATCCAAAACAGTCAGACATGTCTGACAAACAGTACAGTGTTTAATTGTGTGGGGCCCCGTGGTCCGGAGGGGGCCCCCGGGGCCAGTCTGCTTAGGGCCCCCAGAACTATAAACACGCACATGCTGACAAAAACACTCTTCAGGAAGCATGTGTGGATTTGTCCACAAAAGACTTCATGAGGTTATGCTGCAAGATTCAACTACTGGTTCACCACAAAAACAGGACGCCCAAGTTACAACAGTCTTTGTCACAACAATTATGGTGAGCACTGTATCCATTGTAAAGAAAATTCTCAGATTAGATTATGTTAGATATGCAAAAGAAATGCAAGCTCCAGTTTTACTGTACAGCCTCACCTTTTGAAGGGACAAAAATTTCCTTCACAAAATTTGATGGAAAGGCTCCAACTCGGTTATTTTTCTTTCCAATCCACCACCCATCTTCAATCTGCCAGATAAAATAGAAAGTATAGCAGAACATTTGTTTAAAAAAAACAACAACAACAGATATTTCTAAATTGAAAATCTGATTTGGAAACATAAACATTTTTCACATGTACAGTACATTTACTCATATGATGTAGGCCTATCCAAAATACTGTATAAAACGGTTTTATATATATATATATATATATATATATATATTTTTTTATTTATTTTATTTTATTTTTTTTTTTATATCATATCTGTTGAAAGAAAAATATAGATTTGAAAATACGTGAGGGTGTTTTGAACGATGAGATTATGAAAGACAACACCTTTTGCTCACAGCAAAAGCAAAAGTTACTAGTAAGACATGAAACCATTCACATAAGACTCCATCAATGAAGTTTATAGAAATGTGGAAATTATTACCTCTCTGAGAATCTCGATGGTCTCCCCGACAACCAGATCCAGCTCGTCCTCGTTCGCGGGGGTGTAGGGAAAAGCCACCTCACATTTCCTCGCCTGTAACGTTACCTTTGTTTTCTTCGCTGGAGCGATAAAGTAAGTGGAAAACATATGTAACATGTCAACACGTTAATGTGTGAGGACAAACTGAACTGAACTAGACTGCAAAAGCACTTCCAGCTTTCACTTTTACAAGTACTTCACTTTTATGACAAACACTATTTTATGGTGGCTATAGTAACAGCCTATGGATTTTGGTGGGTATAATTTGAGACCGGATGTGGACGCACAAACCTTTCATTAGCCTACTTATTTTAGTCTACCAAGTCGGATGCTTTGGACAGCTTCAAATGCTAATGCCTGTGGACCAAGATTCGAATGTAGTTTAAGAATCTGTCTTTGAAAAAAAGAAAACTTATTTATCTATAACAAAATCTGAATATTTGAAAGGAGGTCTTTGATTCATCCAAGTAAACCGATTCATTAATAAGATTCATTCAGATTCGCTCACCGCCCTTTTCTGCAGGAAATAGTCACACAATTCAAATGGGACTTCAGAAAATAATTCAGTGAATTGAAGAGAACAAGAGTGATTTGTTCACCTAAAAGATTAATTTACGATTTGATGTTTATCATGTTTGTTTTTTAACTTATAATGGAAACGTCTTGGTTACTTATGTAACCCTCATTCCCTGAAGGAGGGAACGGAGACGTTACGTCAGTCGTGACTGACGAATTGGGATCTTGCCCGAGAGCCCAATCACCTTCGAGTGTAAACTAAACAAGCCAATGACAGTTGGCGTGCGTGTTTCGCCACGCGCACCCTGCCCCGCAGCGCGGGTATAAAAGGAGAGCGCGTGCAAACGGACATCAGTTTTTCGCTAAGGAGCCGAGACTACGTGCCCTGGCCGTACAGCGGTGGTACAACAACTGTGGCGACGGGACGTAACGTCTCCGTTCCCTCCTTCAGGGAATGAGGGTTACACAAGTAACCGAGACGTTCCCTTTCAGTCAGTCACGTTCTACGTTACATCAGTCGTGACTGACGAATTGGGATCCGTATGGAAAATGCCACTATTGCTGACCCCCTCCAGTGCCCTGCAGAAGCCAGCAAGTCCCCCCACACCAGCTGGGGCGGAAGATAGGACAGCGGCTAGGCAGAGGTGTCCGCCACTGCTGTTCCATACAGTGGTACATTGGATAACACTGGGAAAGCGTACCCAGTTGGGAACGCCACGGAAGCCACATCCCGTGCATAGGAGGTATCATGTGGAATTACACATATGGACTGGCCCAGGGCAGTGCTACATATGGAAGTCCCTGCGGTAGACTCAAGGGGAGCCGTACCATGGAAGAATACACATGTGGGATCACCCGAAGGGGGAATCACTACACACGGGCACCTAGCCCAGCACAAGGGCTGACCTTGGGCATGCACACGAGTGCTGAGCCTGGCGTCTGGCGCTCCGCCACGCCTGACCGCCGAGGATGCAGGAGGAATTCCACCAGGGTTCGCATGGGGAACTGAACTGAGGAGCAAAAAAGCGCACGTATCCGGTCCGTAGAGGGGAATGGCACCGCAAGCGTGATCGACACCGAGCGGGTCCGGTGTTACTGCCTACCTGAGGCGAGTACACGAGAGGACACGGGCTCTACACGGAGATTATAGAATCTCGCAAACGTGTTAGGCGTCGCCCAGCCGGCAGCTCTACAGATGTCTGCTATCGAGGCGCCCCGCGCCAATGCCCAAGAAGATGCCACTCCTCTTGTAGAGTGAGCTCTCACTCCGAGGGGGCAAGGTAACCGTTCGGCCTGGTAAGCTAAGACTATAACCTCCACTAACCAGTGGGCAAGTCTTTGTTTGGAGACAGCCTTCTCCTTCTGCTGTCCTCTGAAGCAGACAAAGAGCTGGTCTGAGGTCCTGAAGCTCTGCGTACGGTCCACGTAAACGTGCAGAGCGCGAACGGGATAGAGCAGAGCGACGGTTGGGTCTACCTACTCCTGGGGCAGTGCTTGCAAGTTCACCACCTGATCCCTAAAAGGCGTGGTGGGAACTTTGGGCACATATCCAGGTTGGGGTCTCAGGACAACGTGAGAGTTACCCGTTCCGAATTCCAGGCACGAATCGTCGACCGAAAATGCCTGTAGGTCCCCTATCCTCTTGACCGAGGCCAATGCGGTGAGGAGCACTGTCTTCAACGACAGAAACTTAAGCTCTACTGACTGCAAAGGCTCGAAGGGCTCCCCCTTCAAGGCCGCCAGGACCGAGGGGAGATCCCAAGAGGGTAACAGGTGAGGGCGCAGAGGATTTAACCTCCTTGCCCCTCTGAGAAACCTGATGACCAAGTCGTGCTTCCCCAAAGACTTACTGTCTACTGCCTCGTGATGTGCAGCAATGGCGGCAACATACACCTTAAGGGTGGTGGGAGACAGCCTTCGCTCCAACCCATCTTGCAGGAAAAAAAAGCACGACTCTGATCGGGCATCTACGGGGGTCTTCCCGGCGGGAAGAGCACCAAT